ATATAAAGTAAATGATATATTCCATATGTAATGTAATATAAATTACATGAATAACCAATATTGTGTCAAATAAAATAATTCAATATGATTTTACCGAAATAAGAAAGAAAATAATAAGAAGAAGAACATCATGTTAAACTATAAAGAAAAGTATATAGAGACTTAAATCATATCCAAATATTCAATTTTTTAGCTGAAACAAATTTAAATTATATTATTTTAAATATGTAGTTGTGCTTTCATCAAACAAGTTGTGTGCACAAATTCAAACTAAGTATATTTTTAAATTTTTCATGACAAATCAATTCCTAATAATTTCTGATCATTAAAAAACATAAGAAATATAAGAAATATCTTTATAGCACTATTAAAACATACATTATAGCAAAAAAAAAAAAACATACATTAATACAATCTTCTTACAAGTTTATAAAATAAAATTAGAATAAGCAATAAGTTGTGTCAAATATTATATATTTCTATAGTTAAGCTAGTGGGTTGTAATATTTTATTAAGCTCAATTAGGTTTATTTATTATTAATATCTCTACTTACATACAATTTTTCTTTCTCTATACATATAAATCTGAGTGCAGAGAAAAAAAAGTAAAAAAAGGAAAAGAAAAGGCATTAGTTGGGCAGAGGCGTGAAAATACATTATTTATGTTCCTTTTGTCGGTCAAATTTCTTATTTCTGTTTATAATACTGAATAAATATTCTCTCCCTCTCTTACCTTTTTCTCTATCTCTCTCCCTCTGCATTTCCTCTCACATCTATTCCTCCATTTCTGTTACTTATCGAGCTCCATACAAACTTACAAAAAACAGAAAAAATTACAAAAAATAGCAAGATCATAACAGCTAACTTAATTTTTTTTTTTTGGATTTTTGTTATTGGGCAAATTCAAAATGTGGGCTAACATAAAAATACATGGGGCTATCTACAAAAATAATCTAAAATGTAAAGTATTATTTTTTTTTAATTTACCTGGGGCTGGAGCCCACCCTAGCCCATGGGTGGCTCCGCCCCTGTATCTATACAATCTATATATATATATAAAGAGAGAGTTGATGGAATTTATTGCTAAATATAGATGATATGCAATGACTATATTTGGCAACATTTCTACATTTGGTTGGATAATTAATTGTAAGGTTAATTATTTTTGTTAATAATGACAAATAATAATGGGAAATGCATTAACATACTAAATTCATATTCAATTATTTTTGGTTAATTTTAAGAATGGAAAATAACAATGGCAACTTACTTAAATCATTCCGTTTGGAAATTTAAAAAGAATTAATATTCTTCTACTCGATATTTAAAAATATATAACATCAACTACGCTCAACCATACTCTAATATACCTTAAATATATTTAATATCTTGAACCCTACATATCATTACTATGTTTTTAAGGCGGTAGTATTAGTTTACATAACCATACGTATTAGTTCATTTTAACATTAGGCATAGATCCAAAAAACATGTTAAAAAAATATTTATTATGAATAACCTATTTAAATTAAGTTATTAGATGAATATATGATGATGGTGAATGCTGGCAAAATTTTAAAAATGATATATCAAGTTAGGCGTTGACAACAAAAGAGACATTTTGTCGTCCCTCACAGAAAAGAAACATGTAGTTGATAATTTGGTCAAAAAAGATACATTAATCACCCTACCTGATAAAAAAGCTGACGTGGTCGGATTAGGTAGTGATGTGGCATTATAACTTTCCTTAATTTCCTACGTGTTATATATGTGACGTGATGTGGCATCATTATCTCCAAATACACAACTGCACATAGATAAAAAATATAAAAATAAAATAAAAAATCCAAAAATAAATAAATATAAAGACACATCAGCAAAATGAATAAAAAATAAATAAAAAAATAAAAATAATAATAAAAATAGGAAAATAAAAAAATAAAAAATCCAAAAATAAAAAATATAACAAATATATTGTGTTAACTATATATTAATAAAATATTTAAAAAAATTATATTTCTTTAATATATATTAAAAAAATAGTAAAAAATAAAAAAAATATTTTGTTAATATTTCGTTAAATATAGATATAGTTCGCTAATATATATTAAAAATATTTGTTAATTATAAGAATTATATATAATTTATTATATAATCTAATATAATAATTTACGTAAAATTTTATTTACTTAATATATATATAAATATATTAAAGATAAATATAAATCACAAAATATAAATTTATATTAGAAAATAATATTTTAATATATTTCAAAAAATATATTTTAAAAAATATTTTTATTTATTTAAATATAAATTTATATATGTGGTTTATATTTATATTTAATATATTTATTTATATTAAATAAATAAAATATTATGTAAAGTAATATATTAGATAATATGATAAATTATATATAATTATTCTTATTAACGATTTTTTTTTTCTTTTTTAGTATTTTTTAATATATATTAGTGAAATATATTTATATTAAACGAATTATTTTTTATTTTTCAATATATATTAACAAAATATAATTTTTTTAAATATTTTATTAATATATAGTTAACAAAATTGAACGAAATATATTTCTTATACTTTTTTTTTTGGGTTTTTTTTTCTATTTTCTATTATTATTATTTTATTTTTTCCAAAGTGTTTTTATTATTTATTTATTTTTGGATTATTTTTATTTTTATTTATCTATGTGTAGTTGTGAACTTGGAGAGAAGGATGACACATCACGCCACGTATATACCACGTAGGAAATTAAGAAAATTTATAATGCCACGTCATTATCTAACCTGACCACGTCAGCTTTTTTATCCAGGTTGAGTGATTAATGTATCGTTTTCGACCAGATTGTCAACTAAATGTTTCTTTTCCATAAGGAACAACAAAATGTCTCTTTTGTTGACAACGACTAACTTGGTGTATTATTTTTAAAATTTTGCTGGTGAATGCTTAACAAAATACATGAATCATACTAATGTCAATAAAAATTAAGCATTATTAATGGTGAATGCTTAACAAAATACACCCTGACTTACCAAGATAATCGAGTACACAATATGAGTAATTCACGCTATAAATCTCATATTCAAAATATGTGTCATTATATTGTTCTCTCATAGTTTAAGAAGACTGAAATCTACATTAATATTTCACAATTTTTGTGTATACCAAGTTTTTCGGATACGTTGATTAATTTTTTTATTTTGTCCCTAATAGGTATTTTACATGGTTTTTTTAATACATGTACATAAACTTTTGTTTCGAAACATGATTGTTGCGATGAAAATATGTTATCCACATTTAATGGTGGTATTGTGTAACTAAGTTTTTTTGGAGATGTTGATTGATGATTCTATTTTGATCTTTACTTACTATTCTCCATGGGTTTTAATTTTAATACATAAACTTTTGTTTCAAAACTTGATTTTTGCGATGAAAATATGTTATCTATGTCGAATGTTGGTGTTGTGTTCGAAATCAAGTTTTTCAAAGACGTTGAGTAATTTTTCTATTTTGGTCTCTAATTACTATCTTCCATGGGTTTTTTCAATACATAAATTTTTGTGTCGAAACATTATTATTGCGATGAAATATGTTTTCCACATTGAATGTTAGTGTTTTGTTGAAAACCAAGTTTTTTCGGAGACATTGATTTATTTTTCTATTTTCGTCACTAATTACTATTTTACATGGGTTTTTTAATACTTAACCTTTTGTTTCAAAACATGATTTTTGCGATAAAATAATATGTTATCCACATCAAATGTTGGTGTTGTGTTCGAAACCAATTTTTTTTGGAGACGTTGATTAATTTTTCTATTTTGGTGTCTATTTACTATTTTCCATAGTTTTTTACTTTTTTTATACTTAAACTTTTGTTTCAAAACATGATTTTTGCAATGAAAATATGTTATCCACATCAAATGTTGGTGTCGTGCTTGACCCCATCGCAACCATCATGGAAAGCACTTATCCAATGGTATGATCCCATCTATTTGAAAGATAAGGCTATATAAGATCCAACATTTGATGTTGTTGACTCCATCAATGAATATATGTCATCTTTGAATCAATCGGAGGGTAATACTTATTTAAGTTCTGATACAACATGCAAATCCGATGGTGGTGTTGATTTCTTCCATGACTTGCACACGCTGGAGTTCTTAAATAGTATAAAATGTTCTGGTGTTCTAAATCATGAATTGCACTTAAAT